CCTTCTTACGTCAATATTCAAATATATTATTTTTATGAAGTATACGATATATGGTATTTTGATAATTATTTAAAATCGTTACATTCAAAGTTATGACATATATTTTTTTCGGATACTTGAAAATAAAGAAAATTACTGTTTTTTTTTAGTTTAAAAAAAAAGAAAAAAAACGAAAGCATTTTACTTTAAGTACTAAAATCTTTTTAAAGCCCATGACCTATTGTAATTTATGTTTTAAAAATTTTTAGAAATATGTCTCTAATAACAAGTTAAAGTATAATACGAGCATCTATCAAAATTTGTTTCGAAATTTTAAAATTTTGATAAGACAAGGGAATAAACAAGAATGAAACTACCAATCCTAGATTGGGCAGAGAGAGAAACACATCAATAAATAAATTATTTACCGTACATTGACCTTTCTCAATGGCTTAATCAATTTCACAGTCCAAATAATCTTTTAGGATGATAAAACGCCTCTATTAAAGTAACAATGCTCCATCAATAGACCCCTCAGATATGTTAATTTAATACAAATCTTTTTCCCTCGGAACAATGATCGAATTTTGCCTTCTTTGCCAAGTCGTAAATGTTGTGTGGTCATTATTAGAAGATCAAACTAAATATAATGTTGCATAATAAAAGGGGTGAATAATAAACAAGTTAAGGGCTTTTTAAGAATGCACACTGTTTGTTTACTTTTTACATAGATTTATGCAATTACTTTGAATAAATAAGATAGATAGCGGTAATATCTTTTGATTGCAGAGCTTTATTAGTTAAAGTGTTTATTTTTTGCATTTCATTGTTGGAATTTAGTTATGTTTTTAAAATTTAATTTAATTTAACAAAATAATCTTAACTAAATTCAAAACATCTATTGTTAAATTTTATTAGAATATATTTGATTAAATTCATTTAAGAGTGAATATAAATAATATTTTTCATCAAAAATTCAATTTTTAGTATCCAATCGAAGTTATAAAAATTACTATTCAAGGAATTACTATACAAATCTATGTATGACTTACAATACAAAGTTATAAGAATTATTATAATATTGGTTGAAAGTAATTTAACAAAAAATAATTTAAGCACCATCTTTACAATCAAACAATCCGAGTTATATATGTAAAAAGAAAACCTACATAGTTGAGTTAATCAATTACTTTTAAACACATACAGCATCCGCATAATATTATTTAAAAACCCTAATAATATCTTTTTAAATTTTATAAAACATTGACATGACCATTTTTTTTAGCAATCTGTAAGTTTTTGAAATGCATGTTTTTAAGAATAATGCATTTTCTTTTAGAAGCGTTATAAAAACTTTTAGAGTAACTTAAAGAATTAGCTTTCAGAATATATAGTCTTGAAAAAAAGGCTAGATACTTGACCATGGCTAATTTATTAGGGAGGAGGGGGCTTAGTAAGGACATTTTCTTGCAAATTTGCCAGGAAACTTTATTAAATATAATTTTTAAATCGTGAAGTATTTCAACAACAATTTGGACGTTTTATTATATTTTGTTTTTTTCTAGATTTAAAATGTTATTTAGTTTTTCCACAATAATATATTAAAAAAGGCTGTTTTTGCCCACACTAGCCCGACTACACGGAGCTAGTGTGGTTAAGATATGGTGTTTGTAGTCATTTGTTACAACTCAGAAAGACATATATAAAGCCAAAATGAAATGAATTTCAGTCTAAGCCTTATTGGGGAATACATATTGAAACAGATTAATTTAAATACTAATTCATAGCAGAGCATTTCATTTTACTAAGAAAGATATTTGGAACGCAATTCAATGTAATTGGAAACCATCGTTCAATTCAGTTTATCTGATAAATATTTAGATTTTTTTTTATTTTATTAAAGAAAATGGAATGATCAATTCTAAATGTGTATTGCGATGCATAAACGTGTATTGAGGATTTTTACTGGAAAAATGAAAGATTCATGATCAGATAAACTATATCTTTTCTCCCCCTTAAGAATTGAACATCATAATCTCTAAATCTATAAACAATTTCCATCCCACCTACATAATAATAATTAAAAAAAACACCATATTGTATATTAAGTTAGTGTTAAGAGGTTTCAATTTATTTATATCGATCTAATATCATTGCTACTTAAAAATTATAAAAAAAAACCCTTCTTAACTTATAAATGAAAAAATCAACTCAAACATGTCCATACAAGCCCCACGAAGACATGTTAGTTTATGCCTTATGCTGATTAATAGAAACTATACAGATCAAAATTAAAAAATTACCGTCAGTTGAAATTATAGAAATAACATATAAAAGAGTAAATTTGAAAGTTAATTTTACACCTTAAAAACAATTTTCTACTAAAATATTCACAAATTTCTACTAAAATATTCACAATGGGATTATGCAACTGCACATGAAACTGCACACCAGTGTTATCAATTAAAGATATGTTACAGTGGTGATTTGACCAATAAATAAAAAAGTTATTCAATGTCTCCTACTTAGATTCACTAAAATACACTAGATTTTTAAGCTAATACTAGTGCATTATTGATCCTACACTAATGATTTAAAATTGAATAGCAAATCAATTTAAACCGTTTCAAATAAGAATTTCAGAAAGATAAAGGCTATCTTTTAAAAATGATTGGAAAAGGCGAACAATGCACGAAATAAATAAAACCGCTTCTAAGACTTGAAACTAATGATATGTTGCAGAAATGTTTCAAAATAATATTTATGAAACATCAAGGACTTTTTTATGCAGTTTAAAAATGGCATAAAAATAAAAATCTTAATTGTGACTAAACTTTCATATTTCATACGAAAAGTAGTTGGAAAAGTGTCAGGAATAAATAGAAAATTGATTGTAATGATAGAGTTTGTTTAAATTTAATCGAAGTTTTTCAAAATGATTATATAACAAGCAATTGCAAAAACTGCTTGCATAACAAATGTTATTAAAGCAGGTTATTAGGAAAAATCTTTCCAGTTATTTTGATAATTCTAACAAGAGTATGATTCTTGCTGGACCATACACACAAAAAAGAGGAAACTTTTCATTGACGACTTCGGTCATAAATAAGGCCATAAACATTGTGATCTCATCTTGTTTTATTATTTCTTTTTCATTTGTTTTTTCGATCATAACGTTTCCATTTAGGTGCATTCATACTTTATAGGGCATATGTAATATGAAAATATGTTATATTTCTGATAAAAAAATATTTGATGTAATTTATTAATATATATATATATATATATGCACCGAAGAGCCATTACATTATGACCACCCTCCATCTATAACAATGGGTTCTCCCAGGTTTTCATGGTTTCTCGCCCAGGAACAATGTT